GCTGGCATAGTTATCGTTCATAAAGTCCGCCACGCTTTTTAGCGCGCTGGGTGTAGCTTGCGGTAGGACTTTTTTAGCGTCGCTGAACCATACATCAGATTAATGAAACAGTTAGTAGAAGGCATCGCTAGATGTTTTGAATAGTTGTCCCAACTTTTGAGTCAAGCGTCGGCTCTAGTTGCATTGATACATAAAATGTTTCAATGCAGATTATTTATAAGGCCACTGTTCATAGTTGCAGAGGGAAAATGCTTTGATTGGGATCTTTTTTTATTGTATGTCTACTATAGTAAACATGTTCAGAGTGCAGAAACATATCGTTATGTGAGAAATTAGCAAAACCAACATTACCTTCTCGGAGAGCTATCATAACATGTGCTGGCAGAATATGACTTACTCATACTAAAACACCAATGCCGACTATCTCTATATAGCAACTGCGTTGAAAGTCAATGCCAAATTCAGCTATACTTTTGGGTTGATTGAAAACTTTGATGTTTAAAATGAAGTAATGATGTTTTGAATGCTCCTGAGGCCTGCGAAGCTGCAGCAGTTATGGTGTGTTTAAACTTTTTGGTCATCCTGTTAGGTGTAATTAACGAATCGTCGCGTTTTTTGAAATTTTTGTACGATTTTTTTCTGATGTGTACGTTTATTTCATATATAATCCTTTTATCATTTAGATATGATCTTTTCTCATCTTCTGAGTAGGTTGGGATCAATCAGTATCACTGTTTTACAGATACACTAATGACCTTTATGAGTTGCAAGCTTCGCGTTGGGAATGGCGAAAACTACGCCCACGACCTCCCCGAAGTGGCGGTGCTGGTCCATGCCCGCGTTTGGGCCACTCATTTTCGCTTGCTAGCAATCAGGTTACTTTTTTTTCTTAACTAATGCCAAATAAATACATTTGACAGAGGATCTTCAGATTTGTTATCTGTTTGGTGGACTTGCGAATCAGTCTCCTGATCCAAAGCAGAATAATCCTGTCTACCTCGATGACCTATTCACTATTGACATCCGCGGTCCAGTGGGGTCACTTCAGTGGGAGTTGCCAGTGGTGAGTTGTTATACCAAAATTTTACGTCAGTCAATCATTTTTCTCAATGCATTCATTTCTAGACCTATGGCCCTCATCCACCACCCCGAGAGTCGCATTCAGCAGTTGTTTTGGAGTCAGCTAATGCACGCCAGCTGATTATATATGGTGGGATGAATGGGTGTCGACTCAATGATCTTTGGATACTACATCTCGACACCATGACATGGGATAATCCTATGGTCAGCTCACCCCTTTAGGGGCTTCTCTTATCGGCATTTCTATAGAAGGATAGCTTGGAACTACTTTTCTATTAATGTAATTTTTTAGACTGGAGGGATAACCCCTATTCCACGGTCTCTACATACTGCCAATTTGGTTGGGCACCGAATGTACATCTATGGTGGATGGGTTGGTTATCGATGACCCCTGCTCTGCATACCCATATACCCACTTTATTCTTGATCTTCCCTTTTCAGGTTCCCATGGTTGAGGACGGCAACGATGCCGAAGTCAAGGAATGGAAGTGCACGAATGACTTATCGTGCCTCAATCTCGACACAATGGTGTGGGAAAGCGTCTCTCATGTCTTTGACGGTATTCATTCAAAAAATATTTGGTTAGCACAGGGCATACTACCAATTTTTCCAGTAGAAAACCTGCCTCGAGCAAGAGCAGGTCATTGTTCTGTAGTTATCAACAATCGTATATACATTTGGTCCGGTAGAGATGGCTATAGAAAAGCTTGGAATAATCAGGTGTGTTGAAATGATATTGTTGTGTACGTTCAAATACCAGTTGTTGTCATTGACATAGCCTCTGTGCAGGTCTGTTGCAAAGACATGTGGTACTTGGAAACGGCCGTTCCTGGGACTCCTTCCCGAGTTCAACTCGTCAGGGCAAGCGTTGCAGGGCTTGAGGCAAGCAGTTTTGATTTGTTTCAAACTTTTTTCATTAATAACTTTTATCTAGAACA